TGCACTTTCTGACTTGTGATCCTAAGGTTCCCCTATCCTTGGTTTTTAGGGGCTGAGAATGTGTCTTGCCCAAGGTCAGTGGATTTCCATGGCCAAGGTTCTAAGATCTTGAGGGTACTTCTTTATGTGTTTTTTTTTAAATTTTGTGTAATTCCTCAGAATCGCGGGTCTGGGTTCCCAGTGTGCCTGAGCTTCAATTCTCTGAAATGAGACATGACAGGTGAATGCAAAATCAGGGGTTTATTCATTGTAGCGATGTCTGGGGAGACACTTTCTCAAACTGGGCATAAAGGCAATGGGTACATGCAAAGATATTTATAGAGACTTGACAGCAATTCGGAAGACTGGACTTATTTATTTATTTATTTACGATATTTCTACCCTGCCTTTCTCGAACCTGAAGGTGACTCAAGGTGACTTTTTGCTGATTGGTGCAGATTGCAGTTTGCACACTGATTGGTGGAGGCATGCCACCTGTTATTGCTGCCAATTGGTTCCATGGTCTAGCAGGAAATGTGGGCAAGGATTGAGGTTTAATGGCTTTTATGGTTTGGCTGATGGCATAATCCTTTCAGCCAAAGTTGCCCAATGAGTGTCAGCTGGAAAAACAATGGATGCCATGATCACTTGATAGGTTCCCAGCAGGCCCGTAGCTGATGTGTGTGTTTAAGGGTTTGACCCTTAAACAAAATGTGTCAGGTTAAAAAAAACACCCTGGTTTACTCATGAATTGGGTAACCAGTTAAAGTTCATAAGTAAATCATTTTTTTTTAACCTGGCACATTTTGGGGAGAGGGGAGGTTAAACGATTAAAACCCCCCCTCTGGCTATGGCCCTGGTTCCCAGGGAGATACAAAGATAGTGTAATGGGTGGCTTTATGAACTTTTGGGCTGGCGGTGGATTAATTCATTTCTGGGCAAGAGGGTTCATTGTGTTACAGTAAATTGCAAAAGGATCAACATCAAGTGTGTGTGTGTTAAAGAAAACCTTATACTGTTAAATCATTATGTGCAGCTTCTAATCTAGGTCAGCTAGTAAATTTGAGCCACACCCGGTGGGGTATAACTGTATATGTTTTAGAATACAGTTTAGCTTTTCCTCTGAGGAGCTTATGCTCACAGCATTCTGCGCAACCATGTTAGCTGCTCATTTGAAGGAAGATGAAGAAGCCATTCTCTTTGCATTCTTACAGGGACGATGTAAGTTTGTTGCACTTATTTTGTATGTAACAAAGTTTATGTCTTGATTCTGCTGACAAGAGTAAAGGTTTCTGTTCTTTTTCCTCTTACCTTTGTGCAAAGATATTGTGCCTTTTGCATTGGAGCAGACTAAATTCCGCTTAAGTGCAACACATTGTCGAGCAGGAGGGTTGGGAGGCAGGCAGTTGTGTTTCTAGCCCGGAGAAGTAAAGGGATAAGGGATTATTCCCTACATGTGTCCTCTTAGGGTTTCTGAGTTGCAACGTGTGGTATCCTCTGTGACCATCTAGTGGAGCCCCCCTCCCCCCCCGCGCTTATGGGTTTGGAGTTTCTGGCTTTTGATAACAGGATGGAATCCGTTGAGTTGTCTACTGGTATCCCATATGAGTTCAATTTTTCTCATGCTGGACAGTAGAGTGGCAGTGTAGAGCAGCATTGTATATGCACTGTAGTCATTATGGAGGTTATTTCAAATGTCAGACTCTAGATTAGCACTGTGTGGAATTCCCATGCTACTTATTCAAATGGAATTCAGATACTCAACCCTCTTTCTCCTACTTCCACCCTGGTATGTAAGTTCTGCCTCTTTTGGAAAATGTCATTACATTCTTGCTTCACTGGAAAGGCTGAATCCAAGATGTTTCCATCACATCACAAGCTTTCCTGGGGGTAAGAAGAAATCCTCATAGGTTGAACTTTTAGCAAATTAAAGTGATTACATTTGTTGTCATCCATGCTTTTGCCTGGTGGAGGGTTTCACTTTATCTCAGATAAGATAAGGAAGATCTTTTTCGATCGTTTGCTCTCAGTAATGTGTGGTGGTTTCATTATATCAAGGAGGGAAAGTGGCTATGGGCTGGATTGGTTTTCTGTGAATCTGTGGAGGGTCCCGTGATTTACCGTCATCTCATGCCTTCTACCTCTTCAAAATGGAGGTGGGTTGCCCATAAACAGACCAAGAGTCCTATTGGTTCAAGTAGAGTGCCATATCCAGTGGTGGTGCTTTCCTGGATTTATCATAGAAATGTGAAATCATTGATAATAGCAAAGCCTAATTAAATGAAGACTTACAACAGAAGAATACCATGGAATTTCACTGGAGGACCTAGAAAATGTCTACAGGGAACACCTCTCTAGCATTTCTAGGTTGTCCAGCATGATTCTATGGCCAGCTTCTGAAGACACATGCCATAGAGTTGTGTGGAGGACATAGAATATGCCAAAAGAAAACATATTTTTGGATCCAGGTAAGTGAAACCATGGGTACCAGCCTCCCAGGATATAAGAGTCACTTTGCTGTAATGTAAGGTCTTTAACACACACACACACACACACATCCCTAATATAGATATAGGTAAAGGTTTTCCCTGACATTGTCTACTCGTGTCCGACTCTGCGGAGTGGTGCTCATCTTCATTTCTAAGCCAAAGAGCTGGTGTTGTCCATAGACACCTCCAAGGTCATGTGGCCAGCATGACTGCATTACCTTCCCGCAGAAGTGGTACCTTTTGATCTACTCACATCTGCATGTTATCGAATTGCTAGGTTGGAGATGCTGGGGCTAACAGCGGGAGGTCAACCTGCTCCCCAAATTTGAACCACCAACCTTTCGGTCAGCAAGTTTAGCAGTTCAGTGGTTTAACCCACTGCACCTTAAAGCCCTTACATGCCTTAATCAAACTTAGGAAGTGATTGGGCAGTTTGATTACTTCTTATTTTAAAGAAAAGACTTCTGTAAAACTAAAGAGGGTATGAAAAAGCACATCCCAAATATAGCAAAATAGTCACTACCACTCCTATGCTTTGGGGATGGAGATGATGCTTATTGGTTATGCCCCACATTTTAATGGACAGGGATCCAGGGGAGCATGTGTAAGGTGGTCTGAGCGAAAATGGTACTTTTAATGATTGTGTGGAAAAGGGAATTTTAGCAAGTGTTTTGCTTTTCACACCATTAGAATAACTGAGAAATATACCTGTGATTTCCAACAGAAGCGAGTGGTCTTGAATGCAATGCTTAATAGGAGCAGTCAAGAAATGATGTTCTACTGTGTGTTGCCAATGGAAGCAATTTCCTCTTTCTAATGCAAAGCTTTCCAAACATTTCATGTTGGTGACACACTTTCTAGATATGGATCACTTTGTGACAAAGTTATTATTTTATTTCATTTCAAAAGTATTGCATAAACAAGTGTAAAACTCATAAAAATAGATGGAACAAAAGCAGTTAAATAATTTTTGTTTACCAAAAACAGGCAACAGAAATTGCATTGTCTGTAGCTTTAAACAGCTCTTCCTCTGTGCATGAGGCAGGGCATTGTGGACAAACATACATATGTGGAGTTGTTTGTTCTGCTCCGCAATCGCACAAGGTGGAGGAGTCTTTTGGATAGTGCCATTTTTCCAGGTTGTCTTTTGATCTGCCCATTCCACTTCTGAATCTATTTAGGGACGTTCAAGTTGCCCATTCTTGCTTTTCCCCAGGGGGCAGACTCTTGTGGGGGCTATCCAGTTGGGATTTCCTGGTTTAGCTGCCCAGAGGGATATTCTTGCTGTTGCTGGGAGAACATTTAGAGGAGTGGTGGTTCTCATGAAACTTTTCTTTGATTTGAATCTACTGTGACAAATTAATTTTGTTTTACTAGCAAACTAGAGGTTAAACCAATTCCTTGTAAGAGAATAGGGCGCCTCATTCCTTTTCCCCATCAGTGGTCACCTCGATCCACCCAGGAAAATCTCCTCTACATACCAGGTCCTAGGGAGGCACATTTGGAAGCTACAAGGCGTAGAGCTTTTTCGATCTATGCTCCAATTCTGTGGAACTCATTGCCTCCATATATTAGAGCAAGGTCGGAGTTGCAACCTTTTGCAAAGGCGCTCAAGACTTGGCTGTTTGGCTGTGCATTTAAGTAACCGGATCAAATTTTGCCATAGTCACTGCTGAATGTTTTTATGTTGAATGTTTTATGTTGAATGTTTTATATTGTGTATAAACTGTTTTAAATTGTAAGTCGCTCGGAGCACCTTGGTGGAGAGCGACTAATTAAGAAATAAAGTGATGATGATGATGATGATGATGATGATGATGATGATATACATAAATTGTAATGACAAAGTGTGTGGGAACACAATATATCTAACAAAATCTTTCATTGTTTTTTTTAAATATAATGTATTGCTTATTTCACATACTCAAGGTTTCTCTTTACATTTGTGTGACTACAGATGACACTCTAACACAGGGGTCCTCAAACTAAGGCCCGGGGGCCAGATGCGGCCCTCCAAGGTCATTTACCCGGCCCTCGCTCAGGGTCAACCTAAGTCTGAAACTACTTGAAACCACACAATAACAACAACAATCCTATCTCATCAGCCAAAAGTAGGCCCACACTTCCCATTGAAATACTAATAAGTTTATATTTGTTAAAATTGTTCTTCATTTTAATTATGGTATTGTTTTTATGTATCTTTTGCACTACAAATAGGATATGTGCAGTGTGCATAGGAATTCATTCATGTTTTTTTTTTCAAATTATAATCCGGCCCTCCAACAGTTTGAGGGACTGTGACCTGGCCCTCTGTTTAAAAGGTTTGAGGACCCCTGCTCTAACATATCACCAGACCAATTTTGGGAAGTTCTGGTATAATGGTACAATTAGTATTCTTATGTGGATAAGCAAAGTTGCCTTTATACTGAGTCCTACCACTGGGTCATTTGGCTCAATCTGGTCAAACAAAGCACAAAAACAGTATTATTTCAATCTATGTTATTTTATATGCTATATGCTTTTGCCATTTAGATTCTAGCCATTAACCGAGGGGAGAATCTGAAAATCCTGACGGTAAAGATCAACATTCCTGATCGGACAAAGAATGAATTCTCTAGGTGGTGTGTAAATGAAAGGTATGTATAGGAGCACAAATATGTATGTGCCCCCCTCTCCCCATTAGAACAATTCATTGAATTAAGGAAGATATTTATTGCAAACATTAATCTCGTCTTGCGGATGCACTAGCTCTGGATTTGGTGACCAACAATCACCTTCCTCAAGATACTAAATAAATAAATAAATAAATGAAATCTTCCTCAAGATTATTTTCCCTCTGAGATGTGTCAGACTACAGCTCCCATCCTTCCTAGAGTGCATGATGGAAGTTGTAGTCTGCATTTTAATGCTTGGGTGGTATGGAACATCCTCTGCAACTATGTGATTCTATTATTCTGAGCTTGCATGATCTCAGGCCAATCTCAGGTAAGGAATACATTGAAATATTTCTAACTTTGTTGATTTTACATTTTGTATGCAGTAAGGAACTTCTTGTATCCATGGAGGCTTCCCTGCATGATCTGGAACCCAGATTTTCTAGATTCTTAAACTTCCATGGAAACCTCCACAGATACACCTTGTTTAAGATGTGTATTTGAGGCAATTGGGATGAGTACTAGGGTAAAAGGAGGCAAAAGTAGCATGCCCACATTTGTTATTTATCTGCTTCTATGTTCTTTGAACACTTTAAAAAGAATAATAAAATAGGACCACAAATGGGTCTTATTTGTAAAATGTAACATTTCTGGAAATGTTAACGACAGGTAGGAAACATGATATTTTTAGATCCCCCATGGAATATAATTCATCCTCCACTTACAGGTTGAAGCATTTCAGAGTTTTGCCAGGTTTGGATTTCAAAAGTTGCCAGTTGATCTGATTGTGAAAAACATGTTATATCACACAGGTGGAGACCAAAAGCATTTGCAAAACCCGAGTTAATGCAACTGCTACGTGATTCAGTGGAAGACTCTTATAAACGCCTGATTTATCCACTTCTTTGCAGAGAAATAAGGTAAAGCATTTTGTATTTCCTAAACAAGGATGAGTCAGATTATAAGAGGAGCCCTAGTGAAACAAAAGAAAGGTCCACTTACTCCAGCATCAAATTTCCAAGGTGGACAACAAGATGCTAACGTGGACATACTGTACATAAAAAATTACCTTCAATTTATGCATATAATGTGTATATAAAACATAAATACATTTTGGGTTCAGACTTGATCCCATTTCTAAAATATCTTATGTACAAAAAAATGCAGGTATTCCAAAATTTGAAAAATTCCAAAATCTCAAAACACTTCAGACAAAGGGACATTCAATCTATACAACAGAGGCTGGATCTACACAGCCATATAATCCAGTTTCAGAATGCAGATTAACTCTATCGAACTGGATTAAATCTTCAGTGCTTTAAATCTTCTGAAACTGGATCACATTGCAGTGTGTAGATCCAGCCATAGTTGGTTTTCTAAACTATGGTTTGAATGTAACTTGTTTCCTCTAACCATAGCTAGAACTAAGCACAGTTATCTGAATTCAGATCATATACTGTATATACTTGAGTATAAGCCTAATTTTTAGCCCCCTTTTTAGGCTGAAAAAGCCCCCCTCTGTGTATACTTGGGTGAGGGTCCTAATGGGAAGGCATGGGGCTGCAAGAAGGGCTTCTTTCAGCCCCATGCCTTCCTACTATGACCCTCTCCTCTCCACACAGCTCTCCTTCTTCTCCTCCTCTCGCACAGCGCATACCTTCCTCTCCTTTCTCAACTCCAGTCTTTTCCTTATTCATATACACACTGCATTTTCCCCAAAATGTATAATTACAATAAACTATGGTGATTATTAGAAGGATACGTAAGCACATTTACATTGAAGAAAGTCAGATTAATGATTTAATCAGAGTTGGCCAGTCTTATCTTAAATTACAGTTTTATGTAAATATTCCACAACATTTAGCCTACTGATACTTCAATTGATGTAATTTTATTGGTATCTATTTTTATTTTGAAATTTGTATAGCTATTGCATTTCCCATCCTCAGCTTATACTCGAGTCAATACATTTTCCCAGTTTTTGTGGTAAAATTAGGTGCTTCAGCTAATATTTGGGTCGGCTCATACTCGAGCATATATGGTATATAGCATCTGAAATCTTTTTCCAACTAGGAAGTAAATTTGAATGTTGGGGGAGAGTAGTGGGACAGTGTTTAGGAGTATTAGCAAGCCCTTGGTAGTAGTCTCATGGCTTTGGAGGGCTTCATGTGGCTTGCATTTACACAACATTTTTCTAGCATTACAGCTCAACTCTCCTTTTTGGATTTTTAAGAGTATTTGACATGCTTTTCCTTCATTTGAAAAATACCTTGTTTTTAGTGAGATGAAGTATTTCATCCCATAGTAGTTAAAAAGCATGTCTGGGACTCAAAGAAAAGTAATATTATAGTCCTAAGAATATTATAGTCCCAAGAACACGAGTGGAATTAGACTTCACTGAAATGAGTGCAATTTATTCCCAAGCAAACTTGTGTGGGTTCAGTGTAGTTGATGGGTGTTTGACACATCGTCTCTTACTAGTCACAGTTTCATAATTTACTCTTCAAGCTGCAAGAATAGGCAGAATTTGGCAAGTTAAAGGCACTTTCCCCTGGCAGTTAGGATGGTTGGAAACACTTTAGCGATTGAAAATGCTTTTTAAATGGGGAAAAGTTGACAGTTTGCATACACAAACTGCAATTTGCTTAACATTTTTAATGACAGTGCCATAATGTGAAATTGAGTTTTTTTATGCTCTTATATTGAGTACTACATCAGATTGTTATAATGCTCTTTGTGCTAACTGCTGTGTTGCTAAAATTACTTTATTGTATCCATTTCACAATCACTGTTTCTGGAATGCTTTCCATCATGTCACCTTAATCCCATTTCTCATAATTCCCTGGAGAGAATCAGGGGAGCTAATTGCTCCCTCCATAAGTATTTTCATGTCTGTCATCTCCTAAATTAACAATTTAATAGTCATAATGTTGGGTTCAACTCTGCTTATGGGTACTCTAATGACTACAGAGCATGGAGGAATCTAATCTGTTTTACCAATGACAATGTAATGGCTTCTGTTACCAGCTGAGGTACTATTTGAGCACCATAGGAATGCAATATGAATTTAAGTTTAAGCATGTATTTCCAACAAAATATTTGAGGGGCAGGGTGTTGATTTTTTTTTTCTGAATAGGTTGGGCGTAATGGCTCGGGTATCATAATGAGTTTCCATAAATAGTGATGGGCGATTTAAGCAGAAGAACTTGGAGGCTGCAGTGCAATATATAGCTTTCTCTCCACATTTGCAGTTGTTAGTTTTGTGGATTTGATTATCCATAGATTTGATTAAAATGTTTTCTGTAGGAATCTCTAGTTCCTTCAGTGTGATTCAACGGCCAACTCCCTCCAGTCATAGAATCATAGAGTTGGAAGAGACCTCATGGGCCATCCAGTCCAATCCCCTGCCAAGAAGCAGGAATATTGCATTCAAAGCACCCCTGACAGATGACCATCCAGCCTCTGTTTAAAAGCTTCCAAAGAAGGAACCTCCACCACACTCCGGGGCAGAGAGTTCCACTGCTGAACAGCTCTCACAGTCAGGAAGTTCTTCTTAATGTTCCGGTGGAATCTCCTTTCCTGTAGTTTGAAGCCATTGTTCCGTGTCCTAGTCTCCAGGGAAGCAGAAAACAAGCTTGCTCTCTCCTCCCTGTGACTTCCTCTCACATATTTATACATTGCTATCATATCTCCTCTCAGCCTTCTCTTCTTCGGGCTAAACATGCCCAGCTCTTTAAGCCGCTCTTCATAGAGTTTGTTCTCCAGAACCTTGATCATCTTACTCGCCCTCCTCTGGACACATTCCAGTTGGAGGACCTACAGATTTCTATAGAGCACACTCCAAGAATCTCTGGGTCCTCCTGTGCGATCCTATAATCAGCCTCAATTGGAAGTTGACCATAAGAGTCATGCTAGAAGACCTAGATAATCCTAAAAAAGCGTTCTAGGTTTTTTAAAGCAGCAATTTGTTTATTCTCAGGTTTTCACCTTCATGGAAGTCCTGTGCCCCTATAGAAAGTGAATTGCTGACTGTACACACATCAGGAAAAATAAATTTCCTAGGGTAGCCCAGTGGTTCTCAACTTATGGGTCCCCAGATGTTTTGTCCTTCAACTCCCAGTAATCCTGACAGCTGGTAAACTGGCTGGGATTTCAGGGAGTTGTAGGCCAAAACACCTAGGGACCCACAGGTCTAGCTCAATGCCATCCAAGTTATTTGCATCTCAGAAGGGTACCAGACTGGAGATTAACCTCAGCGTTGTTGGGTACCCTTTTTCTGGAGATCTTCAAGTAGAGTTTGTTGGGAATTAAAATCCTGATCGAGCTCTGGATTCCAGAGTCCATTGCAGTGATTCTCAACCATAGTTTCTCCAAACGTTTTGTTTCTAAGCTTCTAAAACATTTAGCCATTGATCATGCAACCCAGTGTTTCCAACACATCTGGAGAATGAAAGTTTGAGAACTGCTGATGTGTAGAACTGCAGGGTCAAGGGACAAGAATAAGCTATGAGACTGGGAGACAAGAATTTTACTGTATCAACTAAAATTCATTACACTATAAGTTTTAGGATTGGTTTATGATTTTTAGATTCCATTCAGTTATTTAACCTGATAATAAAACATTGGAGTATTAATCTGTAGGAAGAAATCCTCAGGGGAAAACCAGACAATAAGATGGCTTGGCATCCCATCAAATGCAGAACTTAATTCATTTCTTTTCATATTCTCTCTCCATTTCATTTTTTAATAAAAGTGCCTGATATATGTTATATTCAGGCATTGAATGTTTGTCTTTTATGTCTGGAATCCTCTCTGAGTCCCTTCGGGGAGATAAGGAGGAATATAAATAAAGTTAGTATTATTGTTATTGTTGTTATTATTATTATTATTATTTACATTTTTCATTTCCTTTTCAACTTTGGTGCCTATGATTGATTATGAATGTGCATGGAAACACAATACTGCATTTGAAAATTCTCTTTTTGAATATTATGGGGAGAGAATTGGGATTCAGGGATACAGGTTGCTTCTTTTTTATGCCAATTCATTGTTCAGCATTAAGTCGAACTCTGCCATGAGATTGAATGAGATTTCGAAGACTGCAACTTCACTCACTTATTAACTGCTGGAAAGAAACTGTAGGATGCTGATGGATTTGTGTAAAGGAAATTCTGTCCCCTTTTGTCTCCTTATTCTTCACAACTCTACCATTTAAAGAAATTACTCTGTTCCTTAGGAAAAGATTTGAGGTTATACAAGAGTAGATGAGGTGGAAGGCACAGTAGAAGTTAAGCATGGTTGGAAGAAGTTAAGCCTGGATGGTAGAATTCCAATGGTTCCTTGAGCTCTCCAGGCACAGCTAGGGAATAATCCTGCTTGAATTTATAGAAAGCTGTAATTAACAATATTAAGCTAGAGGAGTCATTGGGTCTGATTCAATATTAGGCAGCCTTGTATTTTCCTCAAATTTATCTTCCCCCAGATCAATTCAAAGGAGCTGATCTTTCAGTGGGGTGATAACATGATGGAGCGATTATGTGAGAAAGTGAAGTGTGATTTTGGGTGAATGTGACAAAAATTACCATTTTTGGCAATGTTCCTTTCTTAGATCAAAATTAACTTCGGATGCCGAGAAAGAATCTGTAATGATGTTTGGAAGGAACCTCCGTCAGCTCCTTCTTACAAGTCCCGTGAGAGGAAGGACCTTAATGGGAGTTGATCCTGGCTACAAACATGGCTGCAAACTGGCCATCATTTCACCAACCAGTAAGCTTGCTTTCCAGGCTTGGGAAATACTAATTATGTTAATTTTTTTTTTAGTGATGTGTACTCTGGGTACAGAGAAATTCCTTCTAGGATTGATTGGGATTTAGGCTTTGTGACCATTAGACTTATTTCTTGCTTTTTATTCTGGGTTGGAAATGAAATAAATTGCTTCTTTGTTCATTTATTCTGGGGAGACTGAGGGACAAAGGAGTCTAAGGTCTGCTGGGGTTGCTCCTATATTACCAAACTGAGGTAGGCAACTGTGAAGAGATGGGGACCTTACCCCGCCCCCATAGGCTGTATCTTTAGTGCTAGTATGACTAAAAGTCATATTATGGGATGCAGCCCAAGCATGGCATATTTTTGCAATTCTCCATGGCTTGTTTGAGTCAGCAGTGCTCTCTGGTTGTAGGTGAACTTAAACTCCAAAACTCAAGGCCAATGCCCACCAAACCCTTCCAGTATTTTCTGTTGGTCATGATTGTCCTGGGTGCCAAGTTTGGTCAATTCCATTCTTGGTGGAGCTCAGAACACTCTTTGATTGTAGGTGAACTATAAATCCCAGCAACTACAACTCCCAAATGACAAAATCAACCCCCCAACCCCATCAGTATTCAAATTTGGACATACTGTATCAGGTATTTGTGCCAAATTTGGTCCATTGAATGAAAATACATCCTGCATACCAGATATTTACATTACGATTCATAATAGTAGCAAAATTATAGTCATGAAGTAGCAACAAAAATATTTTTATGTTTGGGAGTCATCACAACACGAGGAAGCGTATTAAGGGGTCGCAGCATTAGAAAGATTGAGAACCACTGTTTTAAATAAAGCTTAAGAAAGCCATGTTTTTCCTTTTCTTTCACCATAGGTCAGATCCTCTACACCGACGTTGTCTATTTACATTCAGGTAGAGGATTCCATGAAGCTCAGAAAATACGAAAACTTCTGTTGGACTTCAAGTATGTTAAATATGCTCTATTTTGGTGTGTGTGTTTGTGTGGTCTCTATATATTGCAACTTCTCTTAAACAGGTTATATGATTCTGTCTTAAAATATGCGAATGCTGCCCTTATCTCTTTTGTTCTAAACCTTTTCAACATGATACAGTCAGCAGTTCATCAGGTTTGAAGTGGTTCAGGGCAGCTTCCACTCCCCAAAATGTATCTGTTCCAGGAGAATAATAATAATAATAATAATAATAATAATAATAATAATGATAATGATAATGATAATGATAATAATATCAACAACAACAACAATAACAACTTTATTCTTGTATCCTGCTGCCATCTCCCTGAAGGGATCGGGATGGCTTACAGACAACACAAAGTGCCTAAAAACAAACATAAAAGTGAACAAAATATAAAATACAATAAAATAAAACACATGCACATATAAAAACATCAACTTAGACCCAATTGAGCTGCGATCCTCTAACCTTGGCGATAAATTACTGGCACCATGGCCAGGCTGTAAACATTGGAATAAAATAATGTACCAGGTCCACTATTAGGTTCAGTTGGTTAAGTCAAGTTCATCTTCCTTTCTGTACCTTCAAAGGGCTTGGAAAGTGATGAATACAAATACAACAGGCCTTCCATTTTCACAGGGATTAAGGGTGCAAGACCCCCATGGCAGTGAAAACCTTAAGTTAAAATGCATTTTTAACCTGAGAGAACCCCTCTGAAGGCATCTCTAGGTCTTTCAGCTTGATTCTGTAATCAACTTCTGAGAGACATTGACCCTAGAGTCCTGCTGATGAACCTGGAGATAGCTAGGGAAAGCATATTAATCAAATCCACAAATAATTAAATATACAAAAGTAAAACTCAGAAATGTAGAGATCTCACTGTAGAAAGGATGGATGGCATGACCATTTTGCACTTGCTTAACAATACTATCATCTTTCTTCCCACTGAAAGTTGTGGCACGGTTGTGATTGGGAATGGAACAGCTTGCAGGGAGACAGAAGCTTACTTTGCTGACTTAATTATGAAGAAATTCTTTGCACCATTGGATGTCACTTACTGGTAAGAAAAAACAAGTTTATTGCTTTCATCAGAGTTTTAGAAGAATATTTTGCCTTCTTCTACATCAGAGTTTTTCAGCCTAGTACACTTGGGAGCATAAAAATAGACATTGAACTTCACTCTCAATGTTCTTGACATTATTTCTTGTCTCCTGAAACCCTGTATAAGGGTGCAATCCTTTAATAATGCCTGGTTTTGAGGTTTATAGTGAGAGTATTGGAAAATGGAATTGTCATCTCCTTTTGTTCTTCTCCTCTTCTAGTTTAACTGTTTTTCAATATGATAGTCACTTTGAATCTCCTTGCGGGATATACCGTATATACTCGAGTATAAGCTGAGTTTTTGAAACTTTTTTTAGGCTAAAAAAACCCTCCACGGCTTAGACTCAAGTCAAAGTTATTTATCATTTTACTCTGTTATTATTATTATTATTATTGTTATTATTATTATTATTACATTTATTATTTTACTATATTATTATTATTATATTTACATTATTTTACTCAGTTATTATATTTATTAATTTACTCTATTTGTTGTAATTAATTTTACATTTATTATTTTACTCTATTACAATTGTTATTATTACATTTACATTATTGTACTCTATTATTGTTATTACTTTTATTATTTTACTCTATTATTACTGTTATTATTACATTTCCATTGTTTTACTCTAGTATTATTATTATTATTATTATTATTAATAAATTTATTATTTTACTCTAATATTATTGGAAGGATACATAAGTACATTTACATTGAAGAAGGTTAGAATAATGGTTTAATCAGAGTTGGACAGTGTTATCTTAAATTACAGTTTTATATAAATATTCAAAAACATTTGACCTATTGAAGCCTCAATTAATGTAATTTTACTGATATGTATATTTATTTTGAGTATTTCCCTCGGCTTATACTCAAGTCAATACGTTTTGCCAGTTTTTTGTGGTAAAATTAGGTGCCTCGGGTTATCTTCGGATCAGGTTACACTCAAGTATATATGGCAAATAACCATAATAAACATCATCATCGTCATCATCTTCCTGTTTATTATTGATCATAGAATCATAGAATCAAAGAGTTGGAAGAGACCTCATGGGCCATCCAGTCCAACCCCTGCCAAGAAGCAGGAATATTGCATTCAAATCACCCCTGACAGATGGCCATCCAGCCTCTGTTTAAAAGCTTCCAAAGAAGGAGCCTCCACCACACTCCGGGGCAGAGAGTTCCACTGCTGAACGGCTCTCACAGTCAGGAAGTTCTTCCTCATGTTCAGATGGAATCTCCTTTCTTGTAGTTTGAAGCCATTGTTCCTCGTCCTAGTCTCCAAGGAAGCAGAAAACAAGTTTGCTCCCTCCTCCTGTGGCTTCGTCTCACATATTTATACATGGCTATCATATCTCCTCTCAGCCTTCTCTTCTTCAGGCTAAACATGCCCAGCTCCTTAAGCCACTCCTCATAGGGCTTGTCCTCCAGACCCTTGATCAAATGATTTGAAAGATCATTTGTCTTTCTACTTCATCACACTAGAGAATAAATCCACTTTAAATCCAGTTTCTGCCTCCTGCAGAATTCTGGGGTTTGCAGTTTAGTGGGGCTGTTAAAGTCTCCTCCCTAAATTATAAACCCCAGAATTCTGCAGGAGGCAGAAAACGGATTTAAAGTGGATTCATTCCCTAGTGTGATGAGGCCCTTTGATTGCTCAACTTTAATAGTGAATTAAGATGTGGGCACTTTGTTCAGTCAGACTGGGATTCTGGTTTTTCTGGAAAGCCTACATCCCTTGACATAGGTTTATGTTTTTATTGCATCTTCCTTCCTGCTGATCAGTGTAAAGAATATTAGCAAGTTTAGAATGTGCGTAAGCCTCTGATATGTAAAGCCCATCCTGCTTAAAATTTGCCTGGATTATTTCTTTTGTTTTTATTTTGTTGAATAATGCACGTATTCATTCAACTTTTGCTCATACTTTTCCACTCGAGCTCTTCAAACATTGGCAGCCTGTGCAGCCACTGGTCATCTGGGAACATTTAAGTATGCCGAAAGAGATTAAGCAAAATCCACTGCGCATCTAATTTCTAATGCAGTCTACTCCACTGCTTAAGCAACTTAAATATCAGTAATAAATACTTTGATCTTTTTCTAATGGAGTCACTTCCGAGCTTTGATGTGGGACCCCTTACTGGCAAAAGTTTTAGCTTCATGTTCTAGTTTCTTTGTGTTTTATATGCGAACCTTTATGGTTCCTGTTTGACTTTCACGTGTGTAAGATTGCTGAATATCTGCCTTATTCTTTCTGGATGTTAAAGAAATGCCACTTTCAAGTCCCATTGCTTCCTATGTTTCTAATGTTTCACCCCGACCTAATTACCTTGACTTTTTTTTTTGTTTCACGGCACTCCCTTGGCTAGAAGGGCAATTTAGCAGTTAGGATCACATTATGATAATTGTATTTCAAGACCATGGTGGGAAGGATTAAGATGTCTTTGCTCTGGTTGCAGATAAAAAGGTTCAGATCCACTTGTAAAACGAGATTGGTTAACAGCCCATAGTTTTTATTGTATTTGCTACTCATGCAGCATTAATTCTTAATTCATCAGGTACCCAGGGTGCTGTAACTCTAGAGGTGACCTTGGGACTTGATTTACCTCCACTCGGTTTTCTTTGTTAATGTGCCATGAAAGAAGTACATGAAAGATAGCCAACTTCAAAGCCCCTTTTAAAGGAAAATGGCTGATACAAATCCCCTGGCATTTAATGATGTCTGTCAAATGTTTCAGCTGTCTTGCTTTTTTTTTACAAGCTTTTGGTTGCTGCACTTAATCTAATTTCTCTTACCTTGGGGAGGGGGCATAAAAGGCTTTTGTGAGGATCGCTTTTAAAATTAAGATGATCATTTATTAACAATGCAGTCCCATTGCATGTTTATTTGGTAGTAAGTCCTGTTGAAGTCAAGGTGATTTACAGCCCAGGAAAGTGTGTGGATAGAAGTACAGACTGAAACAGAGTGTGCTGTCTCTATGGCAGTGGCTCCCAACCCTTTTTTGGCCAAGGACCACTTGATCAGGGACCACTTTGACTATTGCACCTCCCCTCCCTCTTATTGAAGGCCTAACTCCACTGTTCAGTCCCCTACGAGCTCCTCCCCCACAAATATACCCTTTTCATTACTGTCTCATCCAGTTTTATCATTTTATGTCGTGCATTTGGCCGCCCACTGTGTTTGATTTTCCATTATGTTATTTTGCACTGTTTATTTTACCTGCATGTTTTATTTATTTTATTGTGATGTTATTTTGTTGTTCTGTATTTTATTTTGCTGTAATGTATTGCCGGGCTTGGCCTCATGTAAGCCGCTCCAAATCCCCTTTGGGGAGGTTGTTGTTGTTGTTCATTTGTTCAGTCATTTCCGACTCTTTGTGACCTCATGGACCAGCCCACGCCAGAGCTCCCTGTCGGCCGTCACCACCCCCAGCTCCTTCAAGGTCAGTCCAGTCACTTCAAGGATGCTCCATCCATCCATCTTGCCCTTGGTCGGCCCCTCTTCCTTTTGCCTTCCACTTTCCCCAGCATAATTGTCTTCTCTAGGCTTTCCTGTCTCCTCATGATGTGGCCAAAGTACTTCAACTTTGTCTCTAGTATCTTGCCCTCCAGTGAGCAGTCGGGCTTTATTTCCTGGAGGATGGACTGGTTGGATCTTCTCGCAGTCCAAGGCACTCTCAGAACTTTCCTCCAACACCACAGTTCAAAAGCATCGATCTTCCTTCGCTCAGCCTTCCCTAAGGTCCAGCTCCACATCCGTAGGTTACTACAGGGAATACCATGGCTTTGACTAGGCGGATCTTTGTTGCCAGTCTGATGTCTCTACTCTTCACTATTTTATCGAGATTGGACATTGCTCTCCTCCCAAGAAGTAAGCGTCTTCTGATTTCCTGGCTACAGTCTGCATCTGCAGTAATCTTTGCACCTAGAAATACAAAGTCTGTCACGGCCTCCACGGTTTCTCCCTCTATTTTCCAGTTGTCAATCATTCTTGTTGCCATAATCTTGGTTTTTCTGACGTTTAGCTGCAACCCGGCTTTTGCGCTTTCTTCTTTCACCTTGATTAGAAGGCTCCTCAGCTCCTCCTCGCTTTCGGCCATCAGAGTGGTGTCATCTGCATATCTGAGGTTGTTAATGTTTCTTCCAGCAATTTTCACCCCAGCCTTGCATTCGTCAAGCCCCGCACATCGCATGATGTGTTCTGCATACAAGTTGAATAGGTTGGGTGAGAGGATACAACCCTGCTGTACGCCTTTCCCAATCTTGAACCAGTCTGTTGTTCCATGGTCAGTTCTTACTGTTGCTACTTGGTCCTTGTACAGATTCCTCAGGAGAGAGACAAGGTGGCTTGGGATGCCCATCCCACTAAGAACTTGCCACAATTTATTATGATCCACACAGTCAAAGGCCTTAGAATAGTCAATGAAGCAGAAGTAGATGTTTTTCTGAAACTCCCTGCCTTTCTCCATTATCCAGCGGATATTGGCAATCCGGTCTCTCGTTCCTCTGCCTTTTCTAAACCCAGCTTGAACATCTGGCAACTCTCGCTCCATGTATTGCTGGAGTCTTCCTTGCAGGATCTTGAGCATTACCTTACTGGCATGAGAAATAAGGGCCACTGTACGGAAGTTGGAGCAGTCTTTCGCATTTCCCTTTTTTGGTATGGGGATATAAGTTGATTTTTTCCAGTCTGATGGCCATTCTTGTGTTTTCCATATTTGCTGGCAGATGGCATGCATCACCTTGACAGCATCATCTTTTAAGATTTTAAACAGTTCAGCTGGGATCCCGTCGTCTCCTGCTGCCTTGTTGTTAGCAATGCTTCTTAAGGCCCATTCAACCTCACTCCTCAGGATGTCTGGTTCTAATTCATTCACCACACCGTCAAAACTATCCTTGATATTATTATCCTTCCTATACAGATCTTCTGTATAGTCTCGCCACCTTCTCTTGAT